ACCAGGAAGCGGCTGGAATCCAGATTTGACTTTAGAAAAAAATGACAGGCACAGCCATCAAACTCTGACCCTCCCTGGCTCTCCCTGCCCAATTCCTCCCCCAACAAGCAGGCAGGCAGCCCTGCAGGAGGAGCCTGCGAGGTGATGGGTTACACCTGCTCGCACGCGGGTCCCTGTGTAGAGAAGGGTTCCCTCACCCACCCTCCCAGCCCAGGAGGTCAGAGACACCAGCCGGGAAGGACAGGCTTGGTAAGGCCTCCAGGGCATAACCGTGGAGTGAAAGGCGAGAGAGACCCCTGAGGGTGGGACCCGGGCCTCCCCAACTTCCTGGTGCTCTAGCTTTTCTCTGCCGTGGCTACAGGAACCCCAGGCGGGTATTTAGGAAGGAGGCACCCACCACGTCTTAAAGAGCCTGCTCTAGGTCAGAAGCTCAGAGAGATTTGTTCCAGGGAAGAACAACTCACCCCCCGAGGAACTCGGAAATCGAAGCAGCCCCAGAGTCTTGGCTTCGGGCTGAGAGGGAATGGGACCAAGAAGCAGAATGCTCAGCTCTTCCCGATGGTGACAGAAAGGACCCACACAGGTCCGATGGGCTGAGAAAGTGTCTGAGAGGAACAGCCAGACTGATGACTTGCAAGGGCCGAAGGAAAAGGCTGTGGAAATCTGTGTGTACCTTTCCCAATTTCTATTTTCATGACCCATCTAAGCTGCACTATCTTATCTAACACAGTCATATGTTTGGTTTTACGTTAGAGTTATTTTTTAAAAAGCATGGACCATGATTCCCGGGGTCCTTAGAGATCCCAAATGACAGCCTCAGCTGGGCCCAGCCAAGCGCTGCTCAGAGACCAGCTACGCTGCCGGCAGAGGAACCATCCTCAATGATGGTGACGTCAAACCATGTGGCCAAATGACACATGCATGGCCCATGGCCCACAGATTCACACGAATGCCACAAAGACCTCATCTGTGACATTTTCAGTCAGACATTTCCCCAATCTAACTAGAATTGCCTACTTCCTTCCTCCCAAGTCAGCACCCCGCCCTGGTGTCCTGCCAGGGAGTCCCCCAGACCGAGGTGAGCGGGCCCCACAGCAGCTCAGCCCTGTCCCCGCTGCGGTCCCTGCTCCAGCAGTGGGACGGGACCCAGACCAACACTAACGTGCTCCCCTCTTGCAGGCAGCCCTGTCACACCTGGAAGCTTTGGCACGAGCGGTGACCACCTTCCCCAACAGCACAGGCTGCCCTTCCCACCTCCCTGAGCCTTTCGCTTGAGGGCTCCTATTCGACCTTAAGACTCAAGCTCAAGTGTTTCCTGCTCAACAGTCTGGGTCCTGCAGCCCCGCCCCTGCCCTCCCCCGCGGGTCTGCAGCCGAGCCGAGCGCTGGCTACACAGCAGCCATCCTGCCTCCTTTTTTTTTTTTTTTTTTTTTAAATATTTTATTGATTTTTTTACAGAGAGGAAGGGAGAGGGATAGAGAGTTAGAAACATCAACCAGCTGCCTCCTGCACACCTCCTACTGGGGATGTGCCCACAACCAAGGTACATGCCCTTGACCGGAATCGAACCTGGGACTGTTCAGTATGCAGGTCGACGCTCTATCCACTGAGCCAAACCGGTTAGGGCAATCCTGCCTCCTTTTACTAAGGATTTTCCCAGATGGACCATGAATTCCTTGGTCCAGCTGGGGGTTTCTTCCCCTAGAAGATTCACAACAGTAAATAAAGCAACTGACAGGCAAACGGAGGGTGCAAACAGCACCTCCTAAAAGCATCCAGAAACACCTACAGCTCGAGCCTGAAAGGGGAGTTTCTCAGAGACAGTTCCCACTAGACCATGACCATGAACTTTAAAAGCTTCACAAACTGCATCAACAGAATCTGCGTGTTGCCTGCCCATTCTAAACCCCTACAGGGAAGAGGAGAGGAGAGCCGAGGAAGAATTAGAACCAAAGCCAATGGTTCAAACTAAAGTCGGTCCTCATCTGACTAGGAAAATCCACCACGCACACTTGCATGCCACTCACCTGTGTGGGTACACGTACCGCTACCTCTGCACACACGTGCACACACACGTGCAGGCATGCATTAGCCTCTGCTGCCTTTCTAGTTCCACTGTCCAAGGCTTGACAAGAGAACAACAGGGGAGGGGAGGGAGGGCAGCAGGCACGGTTTCGGCAGACTTCCCCACCTTGGCTCCAGACAGGGAGACAGTCAGGACAGGGTATGTGAGTCTAAAGGACTCCTCCTTCCTCCGCAGAGAGGAGGATCCCCCCCCCCCCCCCCCCTTAGCTCTAAGCAGCTGCCTGAACCTTGGAAGTGGTGAGGGGCGACTCTGGGTGAGGCCCTGACCCAGGACGTGGGAGGAACACCGCCACCCCCACTGCCACTCCCCCTCCACCCAGCTGGGGGCCTTGTCCTCAGATGTGGACAAAAGGAGCGTGAAATGGTCACAACAGGGAGGAGTGAGAGGGAAGAGGGCGTGGGGGTAGGTGGTATGAGATTTGGGCGGGAGGAAAGCAGGCTGCCACACACACACACACACACACACACACACACACACACACGCACACTCCTCCCAAGCGTTATCACCAGCCAGGACACAGGGAAGGCTTCAGAGACAGGGAAGGCCAGTGTCAACCGGCGTGAAGCCCGGGACGGAACCCCTGGAGGAGAGAAGGAGGAAGGAGAGCTCAGATGAGCCATGGACACGGGCAGCCAGACTGTCTGTGGTTACCAGGGCGGGGAGTCCCCTAAGGCAAGCAGATCGATGCTGCTCACATCCCGGCTAAAAGGTGGGGGGTCCGAGGGGCTGGAAAAAATTGACAAGAGAGAGCAGCAGCAGAGGTGGGACAAAGAGAAAGAGGGAGCGAGAGGCAGGCCAGAGGAGAGGCTGCAAGGGCTGGGCATCCTGGGAGGGCCGGGGCACCTGGGAGGGCACCTCTGTCTAATCAGAGCCAGTGAGGCCTGGAAGGAAGGGGGGAGCCCTGGGTGCCTGTCCAGGCCAGGAATGGATGGTGCCGCTGTGTAATTTTTTAAAGGCATCTCTTCCTCGAGGCACCTTTGCTGGAACACTGTCATATGGACTATGTGAGAAGGCATTTTTACTGCCGTCTGCGGGATTCTAGTGACACACCTTGCAATCTGCATTGTCCACGGTGCACACAGGCCCTCTTGTGCAGTGTGCAGCTGCCCCACTGCCCGTGGCAGGCCTGGTGGGAAGGGTCAGGCAGGGCTCTGTGCCTCCGGCCTGGACACCAGGGAGAAGGCAGGGAGGCTTCTGGCTGCCTTGGCTGCTGGACTATTTGAGAGGATGGTCTGGCCTCAGTGGGGAGGAGGGAGAGAGAAGCGAAGGGGGCCTGGGGACTTATGGGAACAGACAGGAAGCAGAGCCAAGAGCTGTGCTGCTGGGATAAGGGCTCTTGTCCAGGGCAGGAGCTGAAACCGCAGGCTTCCTTCCGGGCTGTGACGCCCACTGTGCCCAGCGTGTAGGGACAGGGATGCCGGCGGCCATCAGAGCCTCTGGAATCTTCAAGTGTCCTGGGCACAGTTCGGAGAGCGCCCTGCCCCGTTAAGCTGCGCCCAGGGTACCCGGAGGATGAGGAGACGGGCAGAGGGCGGCAGGAAGCGTGGGTGAGGCCGAGGGAGAGCTCACCTTCTGCGCGCCCGAGAAGGCGCGGCAGTGACATGAAACATTAGGTCACATGGCCTTCCCATCCCGCCTTAGCGTGCCCACACATCTGCACAGAGAAGGAGAAGAGGTTGAGGAGACAGTGGGCAGCAGCAGCACAGAACACACCCCATCGCATGGGGGACAGAGAGAACACCAGACAGACAGACAGACAGACAGACAGACAGGAGTAAGGGAATGGCAGAGAGGGGAAATGAGATGGAAGGAGGAGAAGGGGCATGGGGTGGGGAGAGCAAGGCAGAGACAAGGGAGGGAGAGAGAGCATCGGGGCAGACTGGGCAGAGGGGGGGGGGGGGGGGTGCCCACACATCTGCACAGAGAAGGAGAAGAGGTTGAGGAGACAGTGGGCAGCAGCAGCACAGAACACACCCCATCGCATGGGGGACAGAGAGAACACCAGACAGACAGACAGACAGACAGACAGGAGTAAGGGAATGGCAGAGAGGGGAAATGAGATGGAAGGAGGAGAAGGGGCATGGGGTGGGGAGAGCAAGGCAGAGACAAGGGAGGGAGAGAGAGCATCGGGGCAGACTGGGCAGAGGGGGGGGGGGCAGTAGAGGGATCACTCAGACGTCGTGCCGAGGACGAGGAATTTGCTGGAGCACATGACAGGTCCACGGCCCAAAGCCAGGCAGGCCAAGCCTGTGGTCCCATGTCCACGGCGACCTGGATGTTGTGCTTCCGGGTCCTGCCTGCGAGGGGCCTGGGAGAGGGCTCCTGCTGCTGACCAAGCGTGGCCAGGGGAGCATTCGTGTCTTCCACGTCTGCAGTGAATGACGCCCTCCGTGTGCGGCCTGGTGCAGTGCGGAGCAGGCACCGCGGGATCTTAGCCTCAGGCCTCCCGGAGCCAAACTGGGCTGGGACACTCGAAGGCGCTCGCAGCTCCCCCCTCCCTCCTTCCCTCCAAGGGGTTGTGCTTGTGTCCAGGAACACAGAGCAGAGTGCCCCTGCATGGGGTCCCCGACAGGATACGGGAGGAAGCACCAAAGCCCCAGGGGCCGTGCACAGATCTGCCAAACCGTGTCCACGCGGGAGAAAGGTGGGGGCTTCCTGACACCTTTGCCAACAGGTCAGTGAGGACAGGAGACACCTCCCGGGTCTCCCTCTCAGGGGACGCGCTGCTCCAACCGAGGTGGGGCCAGAGGGCATGCTGCCCCCTGTGCCTTCCAGGGCCACCCTGGCTGATTGCACCCACGCTGCCCTCCCTGCTGAAGACAGCTGTCTGGGTCCCAGAAGGTGAGCTCGTGCCCAGTTTTCTCAGAGAAGCAGAGAAAGATGAGAGCACAGGTGCAGGGTGGAGGGTAGAGCAAGAACACACCACGTCGGCACCAGGGGCTCACTCTACCAACGAGACGGACCATCCTGACCCTGTCGCCAGGGAGGTGGGGGCGGGCAGGAGGGCGTGGCTTGGGGGTCTGGCATGAGGTGTGCTGGGCAAGGAAGGAGCGGGGGCCTCCAGTACCTTCTGGGCGCCAGAGAAGGCATGGTAGAAGCTGGACACGTAAGTCATGATGGCTTTCTCATCCGGTCGGGCGGTCCCCACGATGTCTGTCAAGAAAAACCTGGAGTTAGAGCTGGTGAACACGAGGGACACCTCCTGGCGGGAGGCTCGCCGAACCACCAAGCATCTTGCCAAGATGCTGAGCCTGAATCTACCAGCTTCTGGCATCGGCTTCCACTTATGGCAGTGGTTCTCAACCTTCCTAATGCCGCGACCCTTTAATACAGTTCCTCATGCTGTGGTGACCCCCAATTTCATTGTTACAAATTGAACATAATTAAAGCATAGTGATTAATCACAAAAACAATACGTAATTATATATGTGTTTTCCGATGGTCTTAGGCGACCCCTGTGAAAGGGTCGTTCGACCCCCAAAGGGGTCGCGGCCCACAGGTTGAGAACCGCTGACTTAGGGGAATACGAAAGGCCGAGGAATGAAACGGTGCCCCGAGGAAGCAGGCAGCGAACCCCGAGTGAGAAACCTGGCAGGGGCCAGCTGGGCCAGCTCTGCAGCAAGTCCAGGGGCAGAAATAAAAGGAGTAGGAGGGAGGGTGAAAGTGCTACAGATTAGAAAAGGCATAAGAAATAGGATAACTAATGGCCATGTGCAGACCTTGGTTGGATCCTCATTTAAACAAACCAACTCTAAAAAGAGACGATGGGGCCCTGACCGGTTTGGCTCAGTGGATAGAGCGTCGGCCTGTGGACTGAAGGGTCCCAGGTTCGATTCCGGTCAAGGGCATGTACCTTGGTTGCGGGCACATCCCCAGTAGGGGGTGTGCAGGAGGCAGCTGATCGATGTCTCTCTCTCTCATCAATGTTCCTAACTCTCTATCCCTCTCCCTTCCTCTCTGTAAAAAATGAAAGATATTTTAAAAAATAAATAAAAAGAGACGATGGGGAAATGTAATTGTGAGCTGCATAGTGAATCAAGGAACCCCCGGCAACGTGCGAGGTGCGAACACTGCCTTGCGGTTGCCTAAGGAAACAGCCACGTGTTAAAGGTACACAGTCCAAAGTATGTAGCAATGAAACACTGTGATGTCTGGCATTTGCTTTAAAACATTTCAACAAAGAGAACAAAAAAGGAAAAGAAAAAATAAAACAAAATCTCAGGAAGTGTTCTGTCTGGATGACGGGTATATGGAAGGTCATTGTACTTACCTCTCTGCTTTCGTATGTATCTGAAAATGGCCCCACACAGACAGATACTGCCACAAACTAGCACATCTCCCTTCTAGTCTCTGAAAGGGCCATTCATCTTCCCAAAAAGTCACTTGCTTTTCCATAAGTGTCTGTCCGGTCTTCCCCTACCTTCCCTTACAAAGTTAGGTGTACATACAGACACCCACCGGGGTTAGTGTGTGTGTGTGTGTGTGTGTGTGTGTGTTGTGTAACGCACGTGTTAATAAACTTATTTGCTTTTCTCTTGTTCATCTCAGTGTCAGTCTAATTGACACGGCCCAAGCTGGAGAAGTTAGGAGGGAAGAGGGAAAAGATGTTTTCCCTCCCCTACAGCAAAAGAACACCACGCTCCACCCCGGCACCCGCTCCCTGACTCCAAAACAGAAATGAGAACCATCCTTCGATGAAGAAACAGCCTTCGGCTCCAGCTGTCACCTCTTCCTCCAACCTCAGGGAACTGTGGGGTCCCCGACACACTGGTGACCCCACAGACCAGGCCTTCTCCCTTCCCACCTCAGCCTACTGGGGCCCACCCCTCTTGGCCACTGGGTGGGACAGAGAAGCGGTGGAGGCCCAGAAAGAAAGCGCCTGTACCTTCGGCATCCAGCATCTTGGGGATGTCCAGGTACTTCTCCGCCACGTCGAAGGCCGTGTTCAGATTTGTGAGGGGATCGTCCTAGAGGGAGAAGGGAAGGTTAGACAGTGAGAGGTTTGACAAGATACTGGCGACCCGCACAGGGCTGATCACCAATTCTTGGGGCAGAGGGGACTACTACCGCCCCGTCCACAGTAGGTGCTCAGGAGCCAGCTCTGGGTGTGAAGGCTGGCCTCACCACCTGGGCTCACTGGCTGGGGGGTTAAAACACCATCTTTTGCCCTGGCCAGTGTGACTCAGTGGTTAGAGCGTCCGCCTGAGAAGTAAAGGGTCACAGGTTGGATTCCTGGTCAAGGGCACGTGACTGGGTTGCAGTTCGATGCCCAGCCCCACTTGGGGCGTGTGCAGGATGCAACCGATCAATGTGTCTCTGTCACACTGATATTTCTCTCTCTCCATCCTCTCCCTCTCTTCTACTCTCTCTAAAAATCAATGGGAAAAATATCCTCAGTGAGGATTAACAACAACAAAAATGCCATCTTTCCTTCTCAAGCCTTAGTTTGTCAGAGAAATGGGGGGTAAGAATACTGGCCTGCAGCCTAGGAAAGAATTACTAGACGTGAGTGTGAGAGCAAGGCATTGGCCCGGGTGCCCTCCGTCTTGGCTTCCGGTTTCAGCTCGGCCACCAGCGAGCGGGACTGGAAACCCAACCTCAGTTTCCCCATCTGTTACTAAAGAGTTGTTCTAGGAGCTCGCATGCCACTTCGGTGGTCACAATCCACGAAATTCTGGGACTCCCTCAAGCAGCCACAGCCTTCTGACTATTCTGGTTTCCGCTACTTTCTCAAGAAAACTGATTTGGGATTGGCGAGAATGTGGAGGAATCAAACTCTTTGTGCCCCACTGGTAGGGCTGCAAGACGGTGCAGCTGCTGTGGGAAATAGTGTGGAGGTTCTTCAAAAAGCTAAACATCGAGTCACTGTATGACTCCTCTGTGCCAGATGCAAAGAGCTCTGGAGACGGAGGGCGGTGATGGTGGCACACCAAGGCGGATGGACATACTGAACGCCACGGAACTGTACACTTAAAACAGTTACAATGTCTGGCCGGCGTGGCTCAGTGGCTGAGCGTCAACGTACGAACCAGAAGGTCACGGTTCGATTCCCAGTCAGGACACATGCCCAGGTTGCGGGCTTGATCCCCAGTGGGGGGCACGCAAGAGGCAGCTGATCAATGACTCTCTCTCATCATTGATGTTTCTATCTCTCTCCCTCTTCCTTCCTCTGAAATCAATAAAAATATATTTTAAAAAACAGTTACAATGGTAATTTTTGTTATATATACTTCACCACAATTTAAAAAAATTGTTTACGTGGAAGAAAACCCACAACTTAGTGGGGGAGTTCCTTATAGGGCCTCCCACTCTCTTCTTGGTTCCCCAGAATAATCGAACGCAAGCTGGTGTGGCCATCCCAGGACTCGGTTTTCCCATGTGCTAAGGTGAGACCCACAGGGACCAGAAAAATAAATACATTCATTTGGGATGCTTTCAGGAAGAAATGGCTCAAAACAGAGAAGGTGGAACTCTTCTGGGAATGTCTCCAACCGCTTCCAGAATGAAGCACAATGCTGCCAAGCTGTGAAGGTCATTTCCGCCCAGGGCCTCGGGCAGGCCTCCGGCCACGGGTGCACATCCGCCTGCCCCACTCAGTGCCCAGAGACCACCAGGCCCCCACGCCCCCGAAGGCGGGTGCAGGAAGGAAGAGCCTCCTGGCCGGAGCCCCTCAGCTCCCCTGTGTCAATCATGAAAGTACCCATGATGCAGTAGGACCAGCTCTGCACTAGGATGTGAGCTGGATTTTATTGATGCTACTGAATTAAAGAAACAGAGAAAAATGAAAAGATACAGAGAAGGACAGAGAGTGGGGCCAGAGCTGGCCGTGTATCGGATAAAGGCCACGGGACTCCCAGCTCCCACGTGGCGGAGTGCCTAGAGCCCATGGCACGGGGGAGGGTTAGCGTGGTCCCGTTTTGTACGGGGGCGGGAACAGCTGTGGATGAACCGGCTGCTGCCACCCCAGCACGCCCACAAAGGGACTCAGAAACATGTACACCTGTCACAAAAATGCAGCAGCGAGGAGGCATCTGACAATGCCTTTAAAAGACAAAATCGCTATCTTCAGGATTCCTCTGCCTGGTTGACTTGGCCTGGACAGCTTTCAGCTGGCTCGGGGAGTTTTTACAACTGACACTTTTTTCTTTTTTTTAAATATATTTTTATTGATTTCAGAGAGGGAGGGAGGGGGAGAGAGAGAGAGAAACCTCAACGATGAGAGAGAATCATGGATCAGCTGCCTCCTGCACGCCCCACACTGGGGATCGAGCTCGTGACCCGGGCATGTGCCCTGACCAGGAATCGAACCGTGACCTCCTGGTTCATAGGTCAACGCTCAACCACAGAGCCATGTTGGCTGGGGCCCTCCTATCCCCCAGGAGACCAGCCTGGGAAGGGCTGCCCAGGGTGCGCACACCTGGACGCAGCCACACGCTGGGCCCGGAGCGGCTACTCTCCTTCAGGGGTTGGCCCTTGCAGGTGAGCTTCAGGCCCAACTGAGGCTGCCCAGAGGCTTTGGGAATCCGCTCCTCTCCTCCCTCCAAAGCCGTCTGGCAGCTCCCTCTCCCACACCTTGAAACACAGGACCCGATGCCACCAGGCACGGCCAGAGCAGTTCCCACACCGGCAGCATGGAGGCTCGCCCGGCTAACCGAGCAGCAGCAGGGGCCCCCGTGGGGCGCAGGTAAGGTGGGGGTCTTTGCTGAACACTGCGCTCTCCACGTGTCAGGGTTAAGTGGAAAATACAAGAACACCCCAGCAGTGTGGCTCAGTGGTTGAGTGTCAACCTATGAACCAAGAGGTCACGGTTTGATTCCAGGTCAGGACACATGCCCGGACTGTGGGCTCAGTCCCCAGTAGGGGGCGTTGCAAGAGGCAGCAAATCAGTGATTCTCTCTCATCATTGATGTTTCTCTCTCTCTTTCTCTCTCTGAAAAAAAAGAAAGAGAGAAGATACAAGAGTAGTCATTCCTAGGTGCTGCCTTGCCCAGAGACTCAAGTGCAGACTGGCAACATTCCAACTCGAGCGCCAGGTCATCAATTGGGGGCACAGGGAGGGCTCCAGGGGTGGCCTTTCCCAGGATGCCTGTGCCACATGGCTGAGGCATGGGATGGATTGAGAGGGAGATGGGGTAAGTACAGTCTCCAAGATCTAGGCCAGCATCCTTTTACCAGCACAGACACTAAGAACCATCACGAGGCTACAGACACAGCTCCCAGCTCCTGGTCTCCTCAACCCCCGCCCCCCCCCCCCCCCCCCCACCCAAACACACACAACCACACACA